AAATTGTATGCAAATTTAAATTTTCAAACAGCATTCTAATTGTTGTCAATAATCCGAATAAGATCGGGAAGGAATGCTGACTTTTCAATGTTTCGGAGATATTGCCTCAGACATCTGCAAAGTAAATCAGTTATGTCCACCATACTAAGCATCTTAACTTTTGAATAAATCTCGTTCTTATTTTAAAGGAAAGGTAGAAGAGAAGTCACCATGTTCTTTGCATTTGTAACTGGTATCTTTTTACTGATTTCGTTCATATTTCTCGCCACTCTTGGTAAGTTATATGTATACCCTCAACACCTCGCTACCTACAAACCCCTACACGTAGTAAAACCAGCTTCGGCGTAAATCACAACGTTTCAACGATGATACTGCCAATCGTTATTATGCATCATTGAAAAAGACATGTTATCCATAAAGCTACAAATAAGTTAAAGACGAAAGGTTACTGGATAATATTGAGACCGAAGACATTTTCCGTTTACCACGAGTTATTTATGGGAGTCGCCTTATAGTTTGATTCAATTTTAGAAATTATTTTATTAATACAAAAAAAAAGAAAAAGGTGTTCCTCTTAGTAAGATTGTGTGGCAAATCTTAGGGTTTTTTTTCCACTTACAGGAGGAACCTCTATTGGTGATATACTTAGTAACCTGTTTTCATTATTGGGAAAATTCTGTGTTTCTGGTTCTTTCATGGTTATCTATATATACACACCAGAAATATACCCTACAAATCTCAGGTAAAACTTCAACCCATTTAATGATAATGACCTTTGGTCTTGTTGATTCTTTGGGTGATCAGGGTCAGCTAAGAAAATAACGCTATAGACTGTCCATAAAAGTTATCTGTTGCCACATGTTAAACCATCATAAAATATACTTTATAAACATTCGATTTCATCGATAATATTCAGCTAAATCCTTTGCATTTGGTCACATATTCGTCGGGCTATTGATTTCTTGCGTCTTCTCCGAGTAGATCTGTTTGATAATTTGTTTTATCAGGAATGCTGGACTGGGAATGGCATCAGCAATTTCAAGGTTGGGAGGAATGGTGGCGCCTTATTCTTCATTGTTGGTAAGTATCCCATAATCCCACATTCGGACGAAGTGTGGATTTTTTAACCACAGTACATCACATATTGAAATGTTGTCGTTCATCAGATACACGGGCATTGTTCTGTGAAACATACTGTGTAGTCTCCATCGTATCATTTAATCGGACAAATAATCTATCCACATTATGGATTGTGGATTCTACCAACGCCGATTCTTTAAAGGCACGAAGATAACAAAAGGTATATTTCTTGTGTATGCCTAATCACGTCAAATGTTGAAACTAATATTACATTAAGTAGTGCTTTTTATACAACAACAACCGATGACCATTTACATTTTTGTAGAGTGCTGTAGCGGTATGGGGTCCTGGTGTTGTTTTTACAGTCTGCTGTATCCTTGCCTCCATATTGATGTACTTTCTACCAGAGACTAAAGGGCGACCACTCCCGACAACACTTCAAGAAATGAGAGATTTGAAGCATGAGCACAGGAAGAGTATAGAGATTATTATACCGGAAGTGAAGAAATAGAGATGAATTCACCGAGCATTTATAGATTTGAGTTAAAACTTTATATAAACCGAAGAGTTACCGTTTCAAAGACCTGTTTGTGCTGAAACATTGGCCACAATGACTATTTTGGGATTGAGGAGTCTAGTTAATTTACAATAATTACCTTAAACATTGCATTTATGACAAGTAATCATTATTAAATGCTAATAACCTTCAACCTACGAAGCTTCAGTGGTGGAGTCAAAAAGGGGGGGGGGGGAGGGGGCACCTCACCCACCCTCGCAGCCCCAAAAGTAAGATTTTTGGGCAAAATCTCATAACTAGGTTAGAGATTCGGGCAATCTAAGATATCTTGCCTCCTATCGGATGTAAACCTGGCTCCGCCACTGTGAAGCTTATGTTTTGAGAAAAGATACCAAATATCGCTATATTTCTGAGGGCAAAAATAATTGTCTTAGCTTTGATACTGTATGAACAGTATAGAAATGAAAAATATTTTCTGGACCACCCGATATGTTGTACTTACAATTACTGTTAAATGTCATTTAAAGAGTTTATAATAAAGCTATTAGATATTATGTAGTAGTTAGAAATATATTGACCATACAACGCATATAATCTGCTTCATTAGTAGACATAACATGTTACATGTTCCTCAAACTAGACTATTAACTTAATAATTTAAACCATATTACACAATATTCTATTGAGAATAAGTTGATTATGGTGCATCATCGATTCCTTATCATAATTGTCAGCAATGGAGAAGTATGTAGTTTTAAAGGTGTGTCACAAAGTGTCATTTCTATGTATCATTCGTTGGTAGCCATGGAGTTGTCAAGCTGGGCTTAAGGGTGATTATTTCCCTATGCGGATGATATGAATTTGGACAGTTGGGTATTTGGCAAAGCCAGACCAGATTCTATTCTCCCCGTCACTGGAAGTCTTCAGGCGTGTCTCTTTCCACAAGCTACTCAGTGATCGTTTTCATCGCTACATATCGACTATATTAGTCATATTAAATGCATTAAATAAAAGCTTGATAAAGTGAATTCTGTTGAGTGCAATATAATACTAGATTAATCACAATTTGAAAACCCTGGTTGGCTAATCACAATTTGAAAACCCTGGAAAGTTATCGACAACTCAATCCCTTGTCGATTTGACAGCATATTTACTTGGTTCATAAATGGTGAAATATAAACCTTTATATATGACTATAACATACTGTGGAATATCAAATATATACCATTAGAATAAACTATATATATAATAAAGTTATCGTATCGATCTTCAACAGCTATATTGTATATAAAATGTAAAATTTGTGAGTTGAAGTGTAGAAGGAAACAGGTGTGACTATAATAATTGGTATTTAAAACTGATTACAGCAGAATTTTATCAACCACTTACCATACCTGTAAAATACCTAAACAGAAACAGGACTGGAGGTATTCAGCAAAAATAGTATTAAAATCTCAAGAAATACAAGAAACGAAACGAAAGGCTATTCCAATGTCGATTCTATGAAAGAAACTTACACTGGATATGATTTTCCTCGACCCTAGTATGAATACAATGCGTGGTGAACACGCTGTTGGGATATAATACAATTCTGAAGGTATGTAAATATTTCTATTTTCCTTTTCTATGATCTAAAAACCCTTAGTAATTATAGCCATTCCAGTAGTATCAGTGCATATTAGACAACAATTTCGTTATCTTTAATTCTGAAGAGTGCATCACTGCTCACTGATAATTCGGTGTTTCTAACGCCATTATGATTCATATTATTTTCTGTATAATCATTGGGTGTGTAGGAGTGATATTCTATTCAATATATACTCATACATAAAATAAACAATATTCTTCTCTGAAAATTTGATATAAGCGAGGAATTCCCTTTTCACATCCCCAGTTGTAGACAGGGAATGCTTTGCGTGTGAAGGTTTTAATACACTGATGTAAATTTTATCCTCACTTCCCGGACCCCTCTCCGCTTTGATGGGGGCAGGAAATGGTACGCTGATGTAGGGGTGTAACATTTACCGACCAAAAGTATTCTACCTAGCGTGTCAGACATTACTATTAATATAGAATAGAAGTCTACATTTGTTAAACTCTGGTCTATTCAATATTTATTTCTGTGTCAGATTTGTAAGGATATATCGATATTCATATCTTTATTGGCTTTCTATTCAAATTGAATCAATGGGCAGCATTATGAAAACAAAGATGTTGGTTATATCAATTACATTTATAGACATTGGGTCTCTATATTCGTGCAGTTCCACATGGAACATGCTATTGATTTCTATTCTGTGAAACCGCTTTAAAAGTACACCGGTGAGCACCTTTTGAAACACTATTTCAGCTGCCAACGTGCTGCTGCTGTAAGAATGACCTTTCATAATACTTTATGTAATGGATACGATACAAATGACTTCCCATTCAATATCGATGGAGCTATAACTTTTTCACTCTTGCCCTCGACACCATTTATCTTTAGTTTACCCCCCTCGGGAGTCGTATTTTAGTTTAGACTTGGCAATACGTTTAATGGTTAAGTAATGGACATTCTCGCGGCAAGATTCCAAACAATTACTAGTATATTCTATACAATTAATAGTACTAAAATATTAACTGGTATCGTTTTAATATAAATACTATCTAAAATCAGACTGTCATTGAACTGTCGTTATTTCATGTTCAGATAGATTGTGATAAACCACTAGCCTAGATAGTTGACAGCCTCCGACTAAGCATTGTATTTGTGACGCCAATTGGATTTTCTGCAAAGTAACGTATTGGTAGATAGTCAGACTTTCAGCAATCAAAGCCCTTTATATACATATGTAATATAATTATATATACAAATGTAGGGCCTTGTCTGCAACAAACTCGTGACGTCATATGTGGAAGCTTTTGTGATTTTGTCGGTATTCTCAGTTTGGATTTGTTGTTGGAATACATGTACACTCTTCTTTCGTTTTTTCAGACACAATGGAAGAACCACAAGAAGACATCGGAGAAACTTGGCGTAAGAGACTACTGGATGGTGTCAATTTCATACCAGACCGAGGATTACCTGGTACCGTGGAAGTTTTTGGAGAAAATGCCAGACCAATTTTGATGTCTACCTTATCCGCTCCATGGATAGCAGCGGCGGAATACGGCAAAGGAAGAATTATAGTGATTGCCCATGCCGCTTATGTTGCTAAATTTGAAAACACAGATCAAGATCGTGATTTAGCGAGACTACATTTAAATATAAAATTGTGGTTGACTCGAGGAGGTTATCGTGACCAGTCTCAAATCGGATCACTTGAGGATGAAAAACTTTACATCAGTAATAAACTGATCCTTATAATCCGGTGGAGGACCCCCATTATCAAATCTGATGACGTCATATTAAAATTTATACGCCAAGGAGGAAGTTTGGTACATGCAATGTGTCCGTGGGGCTGGCTTGAACTCCACCCAGGAAAAACTTTAAGTGAAATGCCGTATGCAAATGTACTCGAACAGATTGGTATAGGGTACCAAAAATCACATTGGTTCCTACCTAAAACTGGGTATGAAGTTCTGGGATATATAGCAACTGGTATCATTAAAACACGAACTAAATCAAAAAGATTAAAACAACAACGAAATGACCATAGAATGTAAGTTGATTTGTGTATTTCTCCTTTCACCAGCTTTGGCCTTAAAAAATGTTACTTGATTATTGTAATTCATAATACTGTAAGTGTTGGTTGCATTCTCCGTGTAATGCATCTTGACATATTCATACATCATGTACTTTTACGCTGGTTTGAGGCTTTCGAGGGATATTTTGGGCATTCAAGGAAGGTTATCCTTTAATTATGCACAATATTTTAAATGCATAATGAGATTTTGTTATTTCTTTTCATTTGTAACATTTTAGCCTGCAAGAACCACATAGGAAATATTTTCATTTATTGGATTAAAAATTATTTCCGAAAAATTAAGTATGAAACGTCACGTACATAACTTTTGTTCTATTGATTAGGAACGTTATAAACATATTTTACCTAAAATATTGAATTATTAACCGCTTTGTTCCTTTGAAAGGTAGACAATATTTGACCCAAATTACTGACCTAGTTTTATCGATTATGCTAATTTGTAAAGGTATGTTGACTCACTGTTGTGGTGTCTGTTTCATTTAATTAATCATACACATTTATATTCAGTCGACTGACCGATTCGTGAATATTAAATTTTATAACTGTTAATCGATATTTAAAATTTGTAATTCAGATGAGTGAAATATTAATATATATACTTTCAATGGAAATTTAATGGCAATTTTCGTCCTACTTTACGTTCCATATTTGATGGTGACAACCGCCATGTTCGATTTGCTCTGATTTGTATTGTAGATGATGATGAAGCCCGCCAACACCATGTATACTGAATTTCGGAAAAAGTACTAGAACACTGGCATCTTCCTAGATGTTCAATAATTTGTACATACAAATGATCAGTGATAGGGGTATAATGAATTGAAAAAAAAACGGACACAATGTCGATTAATCCGAATCTGTCCAAAAAATTCAGACAGATAATGTGAGAGAGAAATGTTCCATTAACGCCTTTATTTTTGAAGCAATACCTCCACAAACCTATACTTGAGTTTTAAAAAACCCGGAAGTATCGAATGATACCCGTCTTGCATTATAATATTAACCTTCCATTAAGTTTCATTAGTTTCATTTCCATTCAGTTTCTGCTATGTGTACCTGCGTGCACAGGCAAACATGCATGATACACCCTGCAGTTAGGGTCGGGGAATCTTTAGTTGGATCGAGACCTTAACATTGGCAAGCTATAGCTGTTTATGGGCGGTTCTTGTTCTTGCATATTGCGAAAATGTAGGATACTCCCTGTCTATATTGTTAAAAATGCATTATAATTCCAATGCTTTTAATTCATAAAGAAATTGAATTATATGCCAATGTGTCGACTTCTCTAGAACCGAGCTTTCGTAACGATTCACTAAATAAGCTCAGTCAAAAATAACAGATAAAAAGTAGCTTAAATCATTTCGTATCTTATTTCAGTTCTCTAGATTCGATGTTAGATGGAGGAGAAGGTAGTGATTGGAGAAGAGAAATATTACATGGTGTACGAGCCTTACCTAATATAGCTGCTCCAGGCTTCCTCTCTGTATATGGTGAACGTGCACATCCTCTTCTGACGGCAAATAAAGAACCAGGAGTTTGGATGGCCGCAGCGGAATTAGGTCAAGGCCGGATTATTGTGTTGGCCCATAATGCATTTGTAAGGTATCTAGAAATAGGGGACGAACATCCGGATTTGAATCGTTTATTAGAAAATATGAAAATCTGGTTGACTCGTGGAACATATAGTGATGTATCAGATATTGGATGTTTACAGAAAGGTACTTTTAATTTAAAAACTAATAAAATTGTGATAGTTCGTGGTCGATCATCCTACAAAATTCCCGATGAAGATTTGATACAATATGTAGAATGTGGCGGAAGTTTGATCCACGCCTTCTGTTCCTGGGCCTGGTTAGTTTCTCACCCTGGAAAAGGCACATGGAATATTCCCTATGCCGATGTGTTAGATAAAGCTGGAATATCGTATCTTGAAGGTAATTGGTTAATCCCTGAAACCGGTTTTAGAATGAGTCGGAATGTGGCGAGTGACAATCACCATGTACGATTTGCTCTGAGTTGTATTGTGAATGAAATAGCTAGTAAAACTTTGTTACAGTTTAACTATTTACCAAAACATATATTAATAAAAATTATAGATGCGGCTAAAATTGAAATAGAATATTTATCTCAAAATAGGACAGTCCACTGTACCCCTACTCAGCAAAATCCGGTTTTCTCAAATGAGGGTAGATCAATGATGGCAATCAAAATTGCTCTTGCTAAAGCTGGACGAACCAACGAGCGACTTCAAGGAATTGATGAATTTCCCGGTGATTTTGAAGTCAAGCCCAATAAATTTCGAATGAAAGTCGATATCATGTCGCAATTAGAAGATGTATATCCTACTGGATGTTATTTAAAGGCCGGAGACGAGGCCATAGTTACCATTCAAACTGAGGAGGCATTGAAATATGGATGGAGACTACAGATAGGCTGTCATACAGACCGACTTCATACCGTAGATAATCATATAAGATGGCCGTATTTAACTGAAACCGTACCAGTTGACAGACGACGGTTTAAAATTACTTCCCTTTATGGTGGACTCATCTATTTTATCTCACCTGGAAGACGATGCGCATTGGAGGCTGTACTGTCCAATGTTGTCGAGGCGCCATTTTTTGATCTGACAAATCGTGCTCGAGTCGATGGCTGGAAAGAAAGACGCTATGCTCCTGGATTATGGGCAGATATTTGTGGTCAATTTATCATTATTACGTTACCATCTAAAAATATCCGCCATATTGATGACCTTACAGAGGTCATGAGAGCCTGGGACGAAGTAGTACGAGCCAATCATCATCTGAGGGGAAGCAACATTCATCGATACAGGAGACAATGGATAGTCACAGATGTACAGCCGCTAGGTGGCGCCATGCATGCTGGTTATCCAATTGTAACTGGACTGGATCTAACTATTGCTACCAATAAAAGTTTTCTGTTGAATTATAATCAAATTATTGATGGAGGGTTTTGGAACGTCTTCTCAGAAATTGGCCATAACATGCAGAAGTCGGCTTGGACGTTTAAAGGTACGGAGAATGTAACCAATGATATTTTTACTCTTTATGTGTACGACATTGTCTGTAGAATTGGACCGTGGATGCCCGAGCGACTACTCAGCAGAATTAAATACGTAAAACGATATTTAGACCGAGATGAAGGATTTTTTGAATGGCTGACTGAACCGTCTCTTGCCTTGTTTATCTATGCACAGCTGGCTAACCATTTTGGATGGGGATTATACAAGTCTATATTTAGAAAATATCGCCTGATGAATCAATCTGCTATTCCGCACCATAACGTTACTAAAATTGACTTTTGGTTCACCTCCTTATCAGAAATAGCTGGCTATAACTTAGCACCATTATGTGATTTCTGGAGGATCCCACTTTCAACGGCTGTCAGGAATCATCTGACCCAATTTCCGCCATTTCTACCAGACGACGAAGTAACGAGACTGGCGCCACAACGTGTCCGTGAAATTTGTGAATTCTATCATGGAGTTATTATGACGTCACCACGAAAAGTTGAAGACAATTTTAAAGATGATTTTGAGCAGCCTCGTTTTCAGCAGCCTGCTGTTATGACACATATTATGAGAAGTTAGATAACAAACAACAAACAAATTAAGTAACATTATAATTGTATGAACAGGAATCAAATTAGTTGGTTTTGGCAATCATCAATGCTCCATATCAGATACAAAACCGGTGAATATAATTTCTTCTTTTCTTCGGTCTTAGATATGATCATATATTGTGGTTCATTGGGACAAGGTTTAATTCAATGATCTTAGAACGTCCTATCGAATACTTATACAGAACGTCCTTACGAATACTAATACAGCACTGGATAGATACTTCCGAAGAAGTAAAAGAAAATTCATTTAACTTAGTCAAAAATGGACAAAACAGCACAGACATTTTAAATCTGTAAAACTTGCTGGACAAGTTGTTAATTGTTTAAAGTTGTTATTTATTTGTTTCATTTTTTGTGTATACGTTTTAATACTTGGATTTAAAAATAAAACGAAAATAAAGATTTCAATTCCAATTTTAGAGGAATGCATCTTCTGATATTGGCTTTAATCATAGTCTGTGAAAGTAATTATAAGACTGACATCGTCCCAAATCGTGATACCAGCTGTGAAGGACTGCAGATTTAATTTTAGAATTTGTGCAGATAAGCGCTTGTTTGTTTTCGTCAAAGTATATATTATTATTGCAATATTGTGAGGAAAAACTTTTGGATTTTTCTATTGTTTTTTGGAAACGTGTTGATATATGGAGTGAATATTTATATCGCCGTAAATGGTTGATAACCATTTCTGGATTATAATCTGATAATTATTGAGAATTTTTATACATGAATAGTTTCCGATTTCGGGGAACATGTTCAACAGTTTCGTTCAATGCAACTTCTGTGATCTTGCACCCACCAATCATTAAAAGCTATTTTTTAACATTATTATTATCTGTTGTTTCCTTTCTGTTAAATTCTATATGCAATAAATTTGTTATTTCATACTTGTTATCTATATTCGCATACAATTAGTTTGGAATCCGAGACGTCATCAACCTAGAACTGGGAGGTTGGGGTTCCGATGTTCTCCTAATCCAACTATCAAATACTACAAACTACCTACTTTACGATATCAGCATCCGCTGGAAGCGAACGTTAACGTGTCATTTAATTGTAATTTCCCCCTTCAACCAAACCAAACACTTGCGTCTTCGTTTTGCAATAATTCCTGTTTCTATTAGTATTTGTTACCAAAATAGGTTTTGTTTTGACAGGAATATTGTGAGTAACCTTATAAAACTTATTGTATTAGTTAGTACAGAGTAGGAAAAATTCAGACTAAAACGAAGCTATGCAACCATTAGAATTGATTATTCCCCTTTAAGTAAAAAGGTATAAACATATTTTAATGAAATACGATAAAAACAAATAAATAAAGTTTACAGCTATTCGAAAACACTAAAAGTGAATACAAATTGACAAATTGTTAAGTAGGGATGCAATTGCTCTGTTTTATAGCATTCTTAATAAGTGACAAGAGTCGGTCTGTTTTCCCAAGAACAGTTATTTGTGGTCCGAATGTTACAGAATAAATTTAAAAGTCAACGCTCTAAGCATTCATGCTCGATCTTAGTTGGCGAGTTTTAGAGCTAAAATATGTTTGTTAGATCGATTAGTTTGCTATTCGATTATGTATACATCTGATGGGTAAAATCTAATGGAAGGCCAGTAGAATATAATTGATTTCCCCGGAAGATTTTTCAACAAAAAAAAACTCCATTAAGTTGGTGGTATGTATACATTTGTAATGTAATGTAATATAGTGTAATTAACATAAATACAGCCTAGTCAGAAAGGCATTGCTAAGGCGCTAAGCAATAATTTTCCTTTTGTAGGAGTGAATAAGTACCTTATATAATGATATTTGTAAATATATAAACTCTTTTCTCAGAACTTGAAAGATCTTGAAGATGATTGAAGACCAAGTTGAAGGTCGGCCACGTGGTGTATTTTTTGGTCTAAATACTGAAGACATGTTGAATCAACTGACCTCGATCCACTTTGAACACCTGATGATTCTATATAACTGTATCTTAATGTTGCCTTAGAAGAAAGGAAGAAAACTACAAAATGATGTGAAAAATACAATAGCGGAGATAACAACGGATATTGCACACCCTTGAACATCTTTATTGAGAACCTGAAACACGGTCACAATTTTTTTTCTGATATAACATTGAATCCGTCGGAAGTATTTTTTCTAACCTTTTGGGAAGTGGTTTCTTTTTGTACATTGTGACCTCATGACGTATAACATGAGAGCACTAAAAATAGCCATTGAAGAAGTAATATTCAGACAAAATACAAACTTTCGACTTTTCCAGCACACTATCAAGTTTTTTCTGAAAAAAGAACCGGAAGTAAGTTACAGATACATACTATTCAAACCACCATTTAAAGGCCAAATCCAGACAATCGCTTAAAAAACGACTTTAACACAAATATAGCTTGAAAAACCATCATTCACAATCACATTGAAAAAAGAGATATATATCTTCAAATCAGTTACAGTTTATATGTTAAATTTTATTTTTCTATATTTATTTCATAATTATTTGTGTGTTCTATGGATCTATGCCTTGAAACAAATACACTTAGGCCCATATGCAGCGCTCTTACTGTACAGTTCGACTTTAGCCAAAGTTCAATTTTAGTCAAGGTAAGAGCGCTGCATACGGCCCTTATTATTATTACCATATCGACATATATTGAATGATACAAAACACAGATAAATTTGGACTCTCTCGGCTTTTCAACAAATAACTTATGGCCAATGAATTATGGCATGGTGAAATTCTCCTTGTAAATAAGATATTGTAAGATTTTTAAAATACAAATGCTTGGGAAAAATCTGAAGTTTGTAAAGATTCTTTCTCGTATTGTCGTTTAATATCAAACATAATTCTCTTTGTCTCAACCAATTTGAACCAATTCTGGACACGTATAGTAAAGGAATTGAAAGTTCCCAATCTGGTTATCCATTAATTCTAGGACTATCTACTCTGGATTATCTTCTCTTAGTAGATAGTTAGCTTGAAATGTAGGCCACCTAGTTCGAATGCAAGGCGCTATATTCAGTTCTTGAGTTCTTGTGAACCAAGTAAAGGAACAGTAGATAATTACGTCGATACCCCAGTTTAATAAGGATGACTTCCGTACATGAGAACTTACTAAAGCCGAAGCTTAATATTGAAGGGAGTTAATTAAAAATAACGCATTTAAATAACAATGTGATATTTTGCTTTTTAGTACGTCTACGTGTTCTTGTAAAATACGCATGGGGGAACGTTAAGAGGTGCGGAAACGATGATCGGCGTACTTTCCGGCATTCATTTTATTCATCTCTAGAACTCTAGACTAGTGAGGATTGTATTATGATAAAAACTATTTTGGAATATATTTTGTGTTAAACAGATCTAGCATTAATTTTGGTTTAAATTAATTTCTAGTTAGTTTTAACAGTGGTCTATAATCCATAATGATCTCATTTCAACTGCCAGCTTCACATTATCTCGTCAAACTTGCTTATTGTACCTGTCTATCAATCGGGTGGAGATTACGGTCTCTGGACTATGAAATGATAGAGATAAAGTTGTAGTCCTGGAAACTTCCTTTCATTTTATCCTGAATGGCATTGTCCTTATTCAATGGCTAAATTAGATACGAAAATCTCCATTTTATTTCATTTAAATGATACAATGTGCACACAACCATCGGTAGCTCTTCTGAAAATACGATGTTAACGGGGGATTCATTGGCTTGTAACCATATTTGGTCGGCTAGAACTCAACCACTGTCTCAAGCAATCACAATTTGTCGTGGCACAAAAAGATTGTCCAGTTGTATATTACCCCGAACAGGCAAATATTTACCGTGTTAAAGTGCCCTGATTTAACGAAAATCGATAAAGTTGTCAAATACCAGTTGCGTATGGTTGCGAATTACGAAAGTGGTCATACGTACTGACGCAACTCACAACTCAGTTGCATAATGACCGCTATTCTTGTTCGCAACCATACACAACTGGTAATCGCTACGGTGTGAGGGCACGAAGTCTTTTAGTCATGGCATAAGTTTTCTTTAACACTTTTCGTCCTTAGAATCTGTTCTTACATTTTTTGCTTGGATATTTGCTTTTATTTCTGTTTCATTTTGTATTTTTATACAATACAATGTATTTTTTAAATATCATGGATTCTATTTCCTATCTTTTATCTGAAATTTTAGTTTTTTAGATTTCTGTAACCACTTTCTAGCGACTAATTAGCGAGATTTCTGAAATCTTGAAATTGAAGAATCAGAAATAACAATGAATGCGAAGGTGGTCTTTTTTTTATATACAAATAGAGAAATAAATTTTTGTGACTTCATTAAAGCTTGTGTACTCGATGGAATATATTTTTTCTATCATATTCCTTATTTGGCAATGTATTTACAACCAATGAAAACAGTCTTGCACTTTGTTACAATATGAAATATTTTGTTGTTCCTTATTTAAGTCTTTTCATAATTATAATAATGTACATGGAAATAAAACAAATCTGCAGTATAAAAGCAATTCTATTTTAAACCCCATTATACTTTTTTTTATTTTGATTCAGAGTACTTTTATATAGTTAATTTCAGATCAAACAGAGGACAAATAGCCTGAAGTCCAGACCACTTATTCCAATTTGAAGTATTTGTCCCACCCCAGACCTATACATTTCTGAGAATCAAGCCCTCCCTTCCTCGAAATCTAACAATGTAGTTTTGTGCCGAGAGGAAAGAGTGTTCTCGGGCAGTTTCAACTTGATGGTAAGGTTAATAAACCTCTGATTCATCTCCTTATTACGTATCGACCAAATCGATCTCTACAACCATTCCCACAGCTATTCACGTAATTTCAATGTTTTAACCTAAATCAATTGCTCATTACTCTGTGTGTTGTTTGCCCAAATCATCGATTTCAAATTAAAGCATCTATCGGTAACCTTTCAGAGTAAACATTTGTTTAAAGGTGGATTGTATGCTTTCAGCGAACAC